TAACAATATGTAAAACAATAACCATTGATAATTTCCTACCATTTTGTGTGTAATTTGCTAAGTCCCCCCTATTATTATGTTATACTTCTTTTACTCTTTAAAAAAAAAAAAAAAAAAAAAAAACAAGTTTATCTTTCTTTATGGTAGAATAGTACTCCATTGTGTGTAAATACCACACTATTTATTCATCTTTGACAGAAATATGGGCTGCTTCCAAGATTTAGCTATTATGAATTGTGCTGTTGTTAACATGGGTATCCATGTATCTCTGTAATACAGTGACTCTTTTGGGAAAATAGCTAAAAGCTAGGTCAAGGGGAACTTCTAGTTTAGTTCCTCCTCTTCAGTTAGACTGAGTTTTTAGTATTTTGTTTAATGTTCTCTGATGATTTTTAAGGTATACTTTTATGATTTGTTTTATGGATGTTTTATCACAGTATTGAATTTTAATGATATTACCATTGCTTTGAATTAGTATTTTACAGTTTCATGGTTATTATGAAAGCATTACATATTTCAGTTTACCCTTCTCCATTTTTTGTGCTATTGTCACCATACAATTTACTTTCCATGTTATAAGCCCCAGAATACATTGTTCTCAATTTTTTGTTGTTTTTTCTTTTTTGGTACCAGGAATCAAACTCATGGCCTTCCACTTGCCAGGTAGGTACTACATTACTGAGCTACATCCCTGTCCCTTATTTTTGCTTTTAACAGTAAATTATTGTATAAAAAATTAAGAAAAAAATGAGTCTTTCATATTTGTCCACTATTCAATAACTCAGGTACTCTTCATTTTAAAAATCTTTAGTTCCAAGTTTCTGGCATTATTTCCCTTTAAAGAATTTTATCATTTCTAGTGGTATGGGAATTCTGGTGACAAATTCTCACATTTTTGTTGATTTAAGCATGTCTTCATATTGTCTTCGTATTTGAGGATCTTTTATTGGGTTTAGAATTCTAGGTTGATTTCTTTTTTTTTCTTCAAACACTTCGGATTTTTCTGTTATCTTTTAGCTGGTATTATTTCTGATGAAAACTCACTTGTTATTCTTACCATTCATGTAATATGTCTTTGTTTCATACCCACTTTGTTTTATTTTTGTTTCTCTTTTTTGCCTACTTTTATGATCTTTTCTCTTACCTTTGCCTTTCAGCATTTTACTATCATATGCACAAGTTTTGGTTTTGTTAGTTTTTTTACTTTATCCTTTTTGGAGTTTGCTGAGCTGTTTGGATCTGTGAGTTGGTTTGTGGTCTCTCCGTTTGGAAAATTTCCAGCCATTATTTAAATATTTTTTCTGCCCATTGCCTCATCTCCTGCGATTCTGATTACGTGTAAATTAGACTACTTGCTAATAAACTAGAGATTTTTTTGTCATGGTGCTCTAGTTTTGACCCATTAGAAGTTTCACTGGTGTTCTTTTCTTAGTCTAAATACTTTATGCCCATTTAATGACTTTTTCAGGTATTATATTTTTCACTTGTAGAATTTTCACTTAGTTCTTAGCATGTCTGTGTTTCTCTTATCCATATCAGTTCATCCGTTCTGTCCATATTTTATTGTAAATTCTTTAACATATTTTGTCACTTTGAAGTTCTTATTTTCTAATTCCATCTGTGCATCTGCTTGTATTATTTCTTATTTTTTTGATTATAGGTCATATTTTTTCCTCTTCATATGTTTAATTTTTATTGTAGTTCAGATATTATATATAAAAACAGTGGAGTATGAAGTATTGTATGTGCATATAGTTTTAGGTATAGTTTTGTTGTTGTTGTTGTTGTTATTTTGTTTCTAAGCCATTCCTTCTGTCCTGCAGTTAAGTTAAAGGGCAGATTATTCATATTTCTCCTGGTGCTGTGACTGAGCTTTGGCTCTGATACAGCTTAATTTGAATTTATTTCTCATTAGCCCAATTGTTAGTGCTTCCTACTACTACTTAAGAGGCTAATCTTTTCTTGTGTTTTCAATATTTAAGGTAGGAAGGGATTAGACTATGGTTACAAAGTTTTGTTTCTCTTAAACTGCAGCTGGGCCCCAGAATTCAAGCTCTGGAGGAACATATAGCTATATGTGACAATAAAAGGAAAAACATCTCTTTTCTTGTCCCAGTTCTCAGCTCCCACCCTGTTCTGATCTCATCTTCTGGTCTCCCATTCTCTAACCTGCCTCCACCCATACTGTTCACTTTCCTGTTCCTTCGAGAAGCCAAGTATGTTTTCACCTGGGGTCCTTTGCATCTGCTTGGAATCTCTACACGGCTGTCCTTCACTGAATCTATGTCTCTGGCCAGATGTCATCCTAGTAGAATGGCCTTCCACAAGCACTCTGTACAAGAGACTATCCTAACTATCCCAACTATCCTCACCAGGTTTCTCCCTGTTCTCTTTATACAGCTTAATTTTTTCTAAGCCAAGTTTGACCATCTATCCTATATGTTTAATATACTCCTCTCCAGGGACTCTAGACAGATCCATACAAGGCTCCTGGTTAAATTAGTTTGAAATCTCTCAGAACGTAGAATACTGTCAGAACTCTTTGAACTTTGATTGCAGTGGACTCACTGAAAGGAGTATATTTGATATTCTAGAAACTGTTGAATTTCAAGGACATATCTGTGGACTTCACCCAGGAGGAGTGGGGACAGCTGGCCCCTGATCACCGGAATCTGTACCGGGAGGTGATGCTGGAGAATTACAGGAACCTGGTGTCAGTGGGTAAGGATGGGCTATGCACATATATCCAGACAGTTGAATTTACAAGAGTGTCAAAATTTCTAAGTTATTGATGTTGTGAATTACTTGTATTAGAAATGTCCTATTCCTTTGAAAACAAAGCCAGGATGTCTCATTCTTCTTTCATGGGAAACAACTTCAGTTTATAGAGCTAAAATAAAAGGACATGCCCTTTTCTATTTTCAGAGCTTCTACCAGAAAAGCTGGAACTACATCCTGGAAATGTTTCTTAGACATTAACAAAACATTCATCTGTTTTTTTCTTTGACTCCATAAGCAGGATATCAGTTTTCCAAGCCTAGTGTGATTTCACAGTTGGAGAAAGGAGAAGAGCCATGGATGACAGAAAAAGAAGATCTGGGAGATCCCAGTACAGGTGAGACCAAGGCAGATGGTACCTTTAAGTATGTGGGCCGGAGTGCTCAGGGTCTTCTTAGGTTATGAGGAAGCCTCAGGCCACCAGATAGGGCCTGGACTAAACCTCATTTTGTGCCTCCCTATGTTACCCCTTTTGCTCACTGACCCCTCTTGAAAAAGCCTCCCTGGAGTTGGAGTTAAGAGAAGAATCTCATTCCTATTACAGTGCAGTTTGATTTTGCCTTTCTCCAGTGTCCTAAGATTTGCTAATTGAAAGCTCCTTTTTCTAAGCAGTTAGGTACATGTGGCTCTCCACAGAAAACCAATTTCTTTTGAAGGCTGTCATTACATTTTACAGATCTTTAATTTTCTCTTTTGTGCTTTATTTCTACCTTTTGCCACCTTTAATTTTAGAATCTCAGCTTCAATTTGTTATTCTTTTTAACGTTTATATATTAATATTTTATAATAGCTACTTCATGAAAATACCTACAAGGGAAATTAACACTGGATTCCTTTTTCACCAAATGCAGTAGTCTTTAGCAATGCCTTAAACCTTGCTATTATTATAAAACATTTTAGACATTCAGAATGACATAGAGACCATTACAACAAATCTTTACATAGCTTTCAACTACATTAAGAAATAAAACAGTTGAAGCTCCACAGTTCCCCTCCTACCTTTCTTTCTTGATGGAGACCACTGTGAAGTGGCTCCAAGCAGGATTTACAGTTAATCACTTGGCTTGTATATTTACTCGTGATTCTGTTCTAGGCCTAGGCCCCTTGCTTAGAGAGGGCAGCAGGTTCATAGTAAGTAAACTTCTATGAATCACTGGTCCCACTGAGGCCTGTAGTGGTCTGTGATGCCATGACTACCTCAAAGGGCAAGACAAGGCAATAGTTGAGGATGGTTGGCTCTGACCCCAGTTGACCAGCTAGAGACTGCAGCTGTGGTCATTTCACTCCTGCCATAACTGTCAGCCTGGAGATAAAAAACTCCTAATTGGCAAAATTTGCTACCTGGGGGACAGTCTTTTTACTGAGTCCCAAGGTCCTACTCAGTTTGCTGTGCTTACCTCAGCATCCTCTTCCTTTGTTTGAAAAACACATAAATACAGGCTGCCCAGAGTTCTTTGTCTCAACTCCCAGGGAATCTTGAATTCCGTTAGAGGATTTTGATCCTCCTGGAGTCCTAAAATCGTACCATTTGTCTCTTTTATTTAGGCCATTCGCCATCCACTTGTTTAGGAGATTGGGGCTAGGCCAAGACCCCAATACTTTCTTCTTTTCTTTTTTTTAACAGTAGCAAAATTTCATTAAAGGTAGGAAGAGAAACTACAGGGCAAGTTTGGGCCAAGTAAAAGTAGGAAAAGAGGTATACTCTATAGCATGAGGGTGGGCCACCATGCAAGAGAGAACAGAGTGGCAAAAGCTCAGTGTGGAACATCCATTTTGCATCATCCACTGCTCAGGCTGACATCAGGTCTAGGCCATCCTACTGAAAACCTGCTCGAGATCTGGCAAGAAGTCCATGTGTAGGGCTTTGGGAACTGATCTGCTCATGTATCCTGGGATTTTGTAATTAATAGGTCCTTCCTACCTTTCAAAATAACCACTCCTGAGTTTGCTTTCATTCCCATTTTTCTTCATACTTTCATTACATACATACAATGCTAAACAACAGCATTCTTTTATATGTTTTTATTCTTTAAATGAATAGTATATATATTTGGACTTGCTTTTCATATCCAACACCATTGATGTTTCTCCATGTTGTTCTGGTTCATTAATTTCCATTAAAATAATAAACCACTATCTATCTAGCCTTTCTGGTGATAAACACATTGTTTCCAAATTTTTGGATTACAAAGATGCAGTAGTTAATCCTCATGTACACATATGCTCATATACATATGTAGGTATCTAAGAGGGTTGATAAAAGCAAAATTGTAGAGTCATGGAACATGTGTGCCTTCATTTTCCTAGTATTACCAAATTGCTCTTCAAAGCAACTGACCCATCTATATACCCATCTGCAGGTTTTGAGAATTCCTAGAACTCAGGGATGAGGATATAGCTCAGTGTTCAGGTGCTTGTCTAGCATGCCCAAAGCCCTACGTTCAGTCCCTACTATTCAAATAAAGAAGACTGAGTGGGAGAGTTCCTGAAATTCAGCATTTTGGTCAACACTTGGGATTGTCAAACTTTAAAAATTTTACAAATTTAGTGAATGAACACGCGATTGTTTTTTTCACTGTCCTGAATGCTAGTGAGAAACATTTCTCGTGTTTATCAACCATCCACCTAGCATTCTTCCTCTATAAATTATTTATTTATACATTCATTGCCAATTTTTCTCTTATTTTTCTTTCATTATATTGACATATTTTATATATTTGTCAATAATTGTTGATTTATATATTTTGTGTATATCAGTACATACTCATTCTGGAAACTAATCCTTGATAGCTTTGTTTTGTAAATGTTTTCCAGTCAGTGGTCCATCTTTTATGTTTTTTTATGGTATTGGGGACTGAACTGAGGGATCAAGCATGAGATCCAAGTACTCTGCCATTTAGCTACATCCCTAGTCCTTTTTATTTTAAGACTGCATCTTATTAAGTTACCCAGGCTGACCACAAACTTGTGATCCCTGCTTCCATCTCCCAGCTAAATTTAGTCAGTGATTTAGCTCAGCAGTGCCGTGCTTGCCTGGCAAGCACAACATCCATAGTTCAATTCCCGGTACCAAAAAAAAAGTTTTGAGTCTGGTGTGGTGGCACACCCCTGTAATCCCAGCACTTGAGAGGGTAAGGTAGGAGGATCACAGTGAGTTCAAGGCTAGCCTGGGCTACAAAATGAGTTCAAGACCAGCCAGAACTGCATAGTGAGACACTGTCTCAAAAAGACCAAAAAAAAAAAAAGTTTTAATAGTACTGAATTTATCAGTTTTTTCTTTTGTGTCTTAAGCTGTTAGCCTCTATAATACCAATAGATAACATATATATGTTCCTCTCTTATTCTTACATTTTTAAAGTTTGGCTTTTCGTATTTAATTCAGCTGGAATTTATTTTATATCAAATATTAAGTGAAAGCCTAGGTTAACTTTTTCCACTTGGATAATCTGCCCAGGAACCATTTATTGAATACTTAATACTACTCTGCTACCTGTCAAGTTTCTTTATGTGCTTGGGTATATTTCTGGAATCTCTCTGTTCCATTTCACTCTTTTATGTTTTTATTCCTACTCTAATGACAGGCTGTCTTAATTAGTATATTGCATAATGAAACGTAGTACCAAGTAGAGGTGGTTCACCCACCTTCTTCCTTGACATCATCCTGTCTATTCTTAGCCCTTTGCTTTTCTATATGAATTATATAGACAGTGCGTCAAATTACACACATACAAACACCAGTGCTCTGCTAACATTTTGGTTTGAAATAGAATCAAATTTCCAGATAAATTTTGAGGACAATTAACATTGTTAGGCTATTACTATTAAGGAACTTTATATATTTCTCCATTCATTATTATTTCATAATTTTTGTTTAATAAAGTTTCAGGATTTTTTCCATAAAGATGTCTACATATTGAACATCTTTTGCTAGATTCATCCTGAAAATCCTCATTTTGTTGCTATAATAGATAGTATAGTTTGTAAAACTGTTTTCTGCTTGTTGCCACTAATAATAATTGATTTTGAATACTGTTCTTAAATAGGCAGCCACTATGTTTTATTGTGTTATAAATTCTAGTAATTGTATATTCTCTTGTGTTTTCTTCTCTACAGTTTATAATAATGAACATAATGGGCCTAAGGGTGTTGATCAGTGGTAGAGCACCTGCCTAGCATGTGCAAGGCCCTGAGTTTGAGCCCCAGCACCACAAGAAAAAAAAAAAAAAACTAAAAAGAAAATAATAACAAAAGCTACCTTAAAAGTTGTTTCCCTGCCTCTGGATGAAATGTCAAAGAAGTCTTAGAGATGGCCCAGTATCTTTAAAGAAGAGTAGTGTTGATTTAAGGAAAATATTTATTGAGTTCAGTGAAATAATAAAAACTCAATTTCACTCACAATTGAATCTTGTTTTCTCTTCCTTTCTTAGCTTGGGCCTCCTCAGGGTTGGATACTGAATTGGGGAGGGGTGCACAGATTGCTGCTTTTCTCTTTCCCTGTTGTCTTCCCATCCTCCTCCCCCATTCATCACCAGAATCAGGGGCCCACAGAGCAAAGACTTCATTATTGCCTCTAATCATTTAGAATTTGGAATTGAAAAGTGATAATGAACCTTCTGAGTTGATCAAAACATAAGTTGTGTTTTTCATTAATACAGACCTGTCAGTTGATTTGTTTTTTTGTTTTCTTTTTTTTTTTGGTTTTTCTCCGGTACTGGGAACTGAACTCACAACCTTGCACTTGCCAGGCAGGCGCTTTTGCCGCTGAGCTAAACCCCCAGCCCCAGACCTGTCAGTTGAAATACTAGTAATGGTACAATAAATTATCAAGTAAGAAAACCAGTCAGAATTGTAAAGTATATGTTCCCTGAACTTTGCAGCAGTATTAGTATATCAGTTTGGATTTCTTTCAAGTTTCCTTTGAATAAGTAACACTTCATGGATATATTAATAACTACATAAAGCAGAACTACATGTATACACACTAATACAAGTTTTAAGAAAGAAAACAAACAACTAAAAAGAAAATAATAACAAAAGCTACCTTAAAAGTTGTTTCCCTGCCTCTGGATGAAATGTCAAATGTCTTGTCAGTGTTCCTAGTTCAACCTCTGTATTTTGAATTAATGTCTATCCTGCTCCTGCTGGAATGGGGAAGGGAACATTTTATCTTTCTGAGACTGTTTTCCAAAAGTTATAGTCAATTTAAAAATATTTTTTTTACAAATAGCATTGAAAATTCATTACTTAGGAATAGTAGAAAGAGCAGTGCTAAAGACTCAGATTGATAGCTAGATCTAACATGTTCACTGTTTGTTGATTTCATGTCCCATTACTTTTCCAGACTATATAACTATATTTAAATATAGTTGTCTATATCTCTATTCTTTTTTTTTTTTTTTTGGTACTGGGAATCGAACTCATGACCTCAGGCCTGCCAGGCAAGCGCTTATGTTGCTGAGCTACATCCCCAGCCCTATATCTCTATTCTGTTACCAGTATAGGAATTGATTTTTTTCAAAGCATAACGAATATGAGTTACTTGCATTTTTTCATTTCTTTCAGACTTGAAGAGTAAAACAGAAACCAGCAAGTCAACTTCAAAGAATGACATATCCCAGGAACAGTTATATCATGGCATTATGATGGAAAGGATCATAAGCAGTGATATCATTTATTCTGCACTGAGAAAAGTCTCCAGATGTGATGACGCTTTAGAAGGGCATCCAGAAACCTGTCAGGCAGATGTGAGACAAGCCATTTTGACCCACAAAAAGAGAAACCAAGAAGCTAAAAAATTTGGGGAAAACATTGTGAGTTCAAATGTCATTTTAGAACAGAAGCATTATAAATGTGACACTCCTAGAAAAAGGAACAAATACAAATTAGATTTGATTAATCATTCAATGAGTTGTGTAAGAACAAAAATCTATGAATGTAATATATGTGAAAAAATGTTCAAACAACCCATTCACCTTACTGAACACATGAGAATTCATACTGGTGAGAAACCTTTCAGATGTAAGGAGTGTGGAAGGGCCTTTAGTCAAAGTGCATCTCTTAACACTCACCAGAGAATCCATACTGGTGAGAAACCCTTTGAATGTGAGGAATGTGGCAAAACCTTCAGACATCGCTCATCACTTAATCAGCATCACAGAACTCACACTGGGGAAAAACCTTATGCATGTGATAAATGTCAGAAGGCCTTCAGTCAGAACATAAGCTTGATCCAGCATTTGAGGACTCATTCTGGAGAGAAACCTTTTACATGCAATGAATGTGGAAAAACCTTCCGACAGATTAGACACCTTAGTGAACATGTAAGAATTCATACTGGGGAGAAGCCCTATGCATGCACTGCATGTTGTAAAACCTTTAGTCATAGAGCATATCTAACACACCACCAAAGAATCCATACTGGGGAGAGACCCTACAAATGTAAGGAATGTGGGAAAGCTTTTAGGCAGAGGATACACCTTAGCAACCATAAAACTGTTCATACAGGAGTGAAAGCATATGAATGTGACCGCTGTGGAAAAGCTTACAGGCATGATTCATCCTTTAAGAAACATCAAAGACATCACAGTGGAGAAAAACCTTATGAGTGCAATGAATGTGGAAAGTCCTTCAGCTATAATTCATCACTTAGCCGACACCATGAAATACACAGAAGGAATGCGTTCCGAAATAACGTGTAACAAATAGTGCTTATGAGAACAAAAGCCAAAGTCAGTGATTCTAAAACTTTAAAATTTCAGGACTCAAATTTTAAGTTTGAGAAACTGATATGATGGCAACTTTTAATTTTTTCCACATGTAAATAAACACTACATTTATAAACTGTCTGCTGACACTTCTATACAAAAGTACTTAATAAAACCTGGTCCTTCAAATTAAATTCATCATTATGAAAAACATTTTTTTCCTGATTTCATGGTGGATTATTACAAAATACTCATAGGCATTCACTGATTTACAGCTCAGCATACTATTTAAAACATTGCCACCCCTACATTTTAAATTCAAATTTTATTTTTCTAATGGGGAAAGCTATGGACAGTATAAAGTTTAGAAGGTACAGACAATTGTATACAGTAGAAAACCACCTTCATTTTCCAGGGCCAAAATCCTCTACTTAAGAGGCATCCAGCCATTTTTTTATGACTTCCTTTGGTGTACTATAGATTTTTCTACTTACATCCACGTCCGACATAATACAAATACTGAGTTTCCCTTAAGTAGAAATAGCAGCCTCCTGTATAAACACGTCTGTACATCAGTTTTATCAGTGGTCATTATGTGGTCATTATCAATGTATCATCATGTTTCACTACATAAAAGTACCTACCTACTTTTCCTTATAGCTGCATCATATTCCATAGGATGGATGTTCTTTATCCAGTTCACTATGGATCAACTGAGGTTATTCTACTCTCTTTTTTGATACTATATTGCAGTCAGTAGACTTACATGTTCTCATTTCTCAAACATGTAAGTGTAGCTGAATGGTAAATTCCCAGAATGGGAATTTCTGCAGTAATATGTATGTGTGTTTGTATAATGCATATTAATAAATTGACTTTCATAGGGTCTGGACTAACCTATATTTCCACCAGGAAGACAATAGAATTATAGGAGCTGAAGCATCTCAGGCAAATAGCCCTGTCAGCATCAGAAATGCCATCTTATCACAGCACTTAGGAGTACTAGCTGAGCTGCATTTTCCAGAAACAGCAGCACCTATCATCCCAGGAGCCAGAAAAGAATTCCTGTCTTCTTGAGTAGTTGAGCCCAACAGGTCTCAGCTGGAGAACACTTTCCCAAGTGATTGCTTCACTCCCTGACTTTTGAGGCTGGGACTGTCCAATGGATGAGAGACTGATCCACTTACCCTAGTGAATATAATCTTCACTGTAGCCTTTTTGGTTGGGATGGAGAACTCAATAATTGAAGCAGGGTCTTAATGGGAAGGTTCAGTATGGGATATTGCCTGATTACAGTATTTTACAGAATGGCTGTAATCAAGTTAACACATAGAGACAGAGATGAAGGACATAATAAGTATGAGTTAACACTGTGAAAGCTGAGCACCAAGGTCAAGACCATAGTGATTTTGTGTTTAATTTTTGAGTTTTACAGCTTTTCCTGGATTGGACCCAGGGCCTCATGCATGCTAGGCAAGCACTCTACTATTTAGTTATATCCGTGCCCTTCTGAGACATGGTCTTATTAAGTTGCTTAACCTGACCACAAGTTTATTCTCCTGCCTCAGCCTCTTAAGTAGGTGGGATTACAAGTGTATGCCAAGTTTTAGTGATTCTACAAGTGTTAATGCATCTTTCTTCAGCTTGCTACCTATAACTACTCCAGTTTGGGATCCTCCATTATACCTAGCCATGCCTTATAGTTTCATCTCCCATTTATTTACACTTCTCTCATATGAGATCTGACTAAATTCATTATATTAGTTAGGACTTACTAGGTTTCAAATAAAAATTAACTGGGGTTACTTTTAACTGGGACTACTTTGAGTCTCACAGGAGAGGGAAGGTATTATTAAAGGGATCTTGCCATAGTTCATTGAGTTCAGGAGATGTAGTACGTGCTAACCAGTAGATTGGAACCAGGTCTTGAAGCACTTTGGAAAACCCAGATTTCTCTCTCCATCTTCACCTTCACTTTGTCTTCATTATATATAGAGCATAAGCTTGAATTTTTTCTATGTTTTATTTTTTATTTTTGGTATGGGAATTGAACTTAGCACCTCGTGCTTGCTGGGCAGGCGTTGTGCCGCTGAGCTACATCCCCAGCCAGGTTGTATTTTTTAAATAACAGCTCAGCGCAAATCAAATACAGTCACCTCCCAATTTTGCATGTGTTGTTTGTGTCACCAGAGAAAAGCCATCTTTCTCACGTCCCATCTCAAATTCCTGGGGGAGGGTTCTTACTGGCCCAGCTAGGTCAGGTGCCCATCTCTAAAGAAATCAATTGTAGGCAGAGATCTCAACTTCTGTGAGAACCATGTGAATCTAGTGACTGGAAGGGCACAAAAGCAGTTTTCAGAAGGAATTCTAAATTCTAAATTACAATTCTAAAACCTATCCATTCACCGTCAGCTCAGAGGATCAGAATTTTAGAACTGAAAAAAGTCTAGGAACCCAATCTACACCTCTCACTTTATAGTTGAAGGGATGAGACTCCTCTTTAAATTATCCATGTCCTCATAACTCAGTCACATTTTTTAGCTTCTCAATGTGTTATCCTAGTTTTCCAAGCACCTGCCTTTAATTGGCTGAATACAGCCACTACTTGGCATTCTAAAAGAGAGTTTACTACTTACATCTACTGTACTGCCCCAGGAGGTCTTTATGTAATACTTCAGAGTCCACCCACCAGCTTGGCCTATTGCCAGTACTTGTTTTGTTCATTCTGTTTACCTCCTAGGCACGCCTGCTGATCACATTCTCTTTTCTAGCTACACATTTTGTTTGTTGTTCCAACACTTCTACACATATATCATAAATGTCTGTAAGCTCCAGAACATATTCAGTGTCCCAGTGGATGTTGCCACTTGAATATGCTAGTCACCTCAAAATTCAACATGTCGAAAACTAATCTTTTTCAATAAAATTTGTGTTCCTTAACTCAGAAAGTGGTACTAGTATCGATCCAATTCCCCAACTGAAACTTCCTCTCATCTATTACCTACTCCAGTCAACACATACTATATACTTAGGATCTTCTCATTCTTCTCTCCATTTCCAGAGCCAGACCCACCCTTAGATTTCTCCCACTTCTTAACTGCTGTTGCTAGGATGATCATTCTAAATCACATATCTAATCACACTACTTCATTGCTTGTTATGGCTTAGAGCTACACAGTCCCCTCCTGTTGAGAGGAGAGGCTTTTGGAAGTTAATTAGCTCATAGGTTCAGAGCTCAATGTACTGTTAAGCAGTGGGGCAAGTAGAAGCAGGTTACTGGGAGTGTGACTTGAGAGGGTGTATCTTCCTGCCTGGCTCTTCCCTTCTCAGTTTGCTTCCTCTGCTACATCCTTGCACCCTGCCCTTCCTGCCTTGGAGCCAGCCAACCAGGGACTGTACCTGTGAACCCAGTTGTATGTGTTGAGTATTTTGCCTCAGTGATGAGAAAGTAAGATACTGCTTAAATCTTCTTGGTTTATTTTCACTTGAAGGTCATATTTTTAAATACAGAACACATTGCTTATTTTGGGGGGAGAAGCTCCCAAATTCCCACTCAGCCATATTTTGCTTCAGCCAAGATTTTATGAACATCGCCAGTATCACATGCAGTTTCATGGGTTTTGGTCCATCACTGTGTAATTTTCCCTTCTGACTGACTTAGATAGTGGCTATTCATCCTCCCTATCACCAGGGAATAATGTCTTATAAACTTCACAAAACTTACACCTTCCTGGTTGAACTCTTAAATTCATCACTGAATTTACTAAATAAAGCCAAAATACAGGCCTTACAGGATTTTAAGTCAGAAAATGACAGTATGAGATATAGATTTTACACAATTACTATGAAATAAATGTGGAAGAACTACGGTTCAACACAAGACAATGAACAGCACAATAACACTACTCTGATTTGCGTCACATTACTATTTGCTTCCCTTTCACTTCCTTTTCTTATCCTTGCCGTCTATCCAAGCTTATCCTTGTGCCTTCCAAGCTAAAAAACAGAAAGCACTCTAACCCTTGTCTCAGGCTCTATTTTCTAGAACACTCTAGGTAAGAAATGTGTATAACACTGTTTGACTAATCAGGGCCAATTTCTCTATGAGCAATTAGAGAAACGTTATTTCCTTTTCTCCCACTGGATACAAATCTGAAAGGCAGTTGCCCTGGAAACTACTGGTAGTAAAAGAAAAAGGAGGCCACCTGGATATGGAGCAAACACAGGACAAACCAGATATTAAAAAAAAAAAAAAAAAAAGGCTCAATCCTGGTCACACTACTTGCCTGGTAGATCAAGCCAGTTGGTTATTTCTGCCTCCTCCCCAATATAACCTTTCCAAAACCCTTCCCACAAGGACCACTCTTTTCCGCATATTCCATGTCTGTGTCTCAAGTCTCTTCTGCTTCACTGTACCCAGGAGCGTCCTTACCCAGGCCAAACATCATTTAAAGAGTGGTCCATGTTTGAAGTGGCCTGGATTTCTTTTTTTCCTAGCATTAGAAGTTACGTCCTGGCTAAGGAAAGTTATATTTGGGAGAAGTTAGAAACAATAGAGCAATGGTGTCTCACATCTCATTGATTAAAAAGCTTTTCCTCAACTTCCATATTTCTAATAAAAAGGACATTTTCCTACATAACTTCCTATACAAAATATTACTACATTGAGGATTTGTACAATTGATTGCTATTAAGTAAAACAAGCCATTTGAAAATCTTCCCAAATGACACAAAATGTGCTTTATAGCTTAAATTACTGTTTCTATGTTTAAGAAAAGTTTCCCATTCTTAAGCTCAAAGGATATTTTCCTATGTTATAGATTAAAAGCCTTACAGTTAGCATTTCACATTTAGGTCTTTAAACCACCTGATAAATGATATTTGTAAACTAAGATAAAGGTTCCTACTTTATTTTTTATCAGGATACTCAAAATTGTCAGAAAGCTTTCACTGAAAAGACCATCTTTTCTCCATTGCTGTGCAATGCTACCTATGTCATAAACCAAGTTTGCTGTAAAACAAAGCAAGGAAAAGTCATAAAAAGTTGGTGGTTGTCTCAGAAGGTGTATCTGGGAAAGGTCTGGCACTGTTCTTTCTTTGCTCTAATGATGACATGTCTGTTGAAAAATTATACTTTTTATATTATAGAATATAATTGTGTTATATTTCTCAATTTAAAAGGTCAAAATAAGAGAAAAATACATTGATAAGGCTGGCGCCAGCACCTTTGAAAAGTGAGTTGGTGGCTGTTCTTTCATATGGAAAAAAGGGCGCAACGTGCTAATAGGTGCAAGATGCCAGCTGTCCAAGCATGGCACAGAGAAGGCGCAGCTCTTACTCGCAACCGCCTGGGGTGACAGCAGCCGGAGACTCCCATAGGAAAGGAGCTTTTAGGTCAGGTGATAACATTCTATTTGGAATTAAGCCTCACAAAGTCCTACACTAGAAGGTCTGTCCGATCTCGGCGAGCTCCTACAAACCTACTCTCGCGACAGTTGCAGGTTCCTCTGTCCCCAGCGAGCACGACACTCCTCGGAGCTGCAGCGGGGAACGCCTACGGGAAGGGGCGGTCTTGCGCAAGGCGCGGGGCATTCTGGGGCTGGGCTCCCGGCAATTCTACGCAAAGGTTCCACAAAAGCGCTTGTGATTCCGCTCTGTTCAGCTTCTTTCTTCTTTTTGAAGGAGGCCTGGAGCAGTTCGGAGGCTGAGCTGAAGTGAGGTGTGTGGTTTTTTGCGGGGGTGGTGGTGGTGGTTGTGGTGTCAGGCTTTTGGAGGAATACTCGAGGTTAGGGGGAGGCCTTTGAATGGGAAAAGGGGCAGAGCTGCTGCGTTTCGGAGCCCGGGGGTGTATCCTCGCGGTCGCGGCGTCCTTCTTTGCTTCCAGCTCCTCCGGGACAGCAGTCCCGTTGTTTCCTTCGCAGGCCAGTTTCCCGTGGGTTTTGGTCCTTATCCTTTGGAAGACCCTGCGGTCAGTTAAGAGCTTTTGTCCAGGCTAGTGACCTCTTACTTTCCATCTTGTTCCTCCAAGGCAGTGCAGGGAGTGCTTAGCACGCTTTAGGGCAAACAAAGCCCTCCCAGGGAGACAGTGGCTCGGGCTCAGAGGAGAGCAAATACCCTTAGAGACCGCGAGTCCGGCCTACACCGAACAAATGTCCAGAGTGAAAGAAGTGGCAGATCTGCAGGCTGCATGGAACCCATTGGCGAGACAAGACCACAGGTCGGCTGGAGCTTCTGGACTGAGGCTGGAGGTGGAATAGGGAACCGACCTCGGAGTTCCTGTGGCACTCGGCAATTTTGAACCCTTTTACTTGCAGGGAACAAGGTTTGGTCAACTAACAGCATCCAAGGTGTGGAAAAAACGAAGAAGTTGTGGAAAGTGCCTCAGGAGAGTGTACAGCATTACTTAGCATCTAGAGTGGGCAACTGTCTGTGCGCCATGGATTAGAGAGTTTAAAATACCACGTGAAAAGGGAGTGGTCAGGTGAGAAAGGACCAAAAGCCACTGTTCTACCATAGCAAGGTCCCAAGTGGATAATTGGGTTCTTTGTGATCTGCAGGACTTATTTCTTCTCCCTTAACTTTGTCATTTTAGTATTCTGCCATTCCCTTTGAGAAGGTGATCAACTAAGTGCCAGGTGAGTAGTTTTATCACTCAACAGTTGGGTAACTGAGTAGGTTTAGAAGGAGTACCCTGTTCACTCTACTACATTGTAAAGATACGTCAGTCACTCCATGAAAGTTAAAATTTTAAAGCAAGCAGAATACTAATGAATTCTACTCAGGATCAGGTTCAAAATCCAGATGTGTAGGACCCTTAGACTCTTGACACTATGCTGGTGTTTTCAAACGTCTCACTGACTTATCACCTAACAATTTTTGCTACACCTATGTACTGCCTATGTTGTTATTCTCATATTATTTCTTCTTACTTTTTAAAAAAATCAAATATCTAAGAAACAGTATCTATTAAATTCGGCATTTGATAGATGTCTAATAACTTTAGAGTTACTGGAAAATTTACCTAAAACTATTAGTCCATGCATGATGTAAAATCATCTGAGACCAAACTATCCATCCCTCATGTGTTGTTTTCTTATTTTAGATGAATAATGCCACAGAGAATGCCTTTCCCCTTTGTGCCTTTTCCATAAGATATTTCACTGAACCTGTGTAGAACTCTCCAATTCAAATGTTGTATGAAAAACAAGCGGAGAGGCCTCATCTTTCAAGAGTTTACTCTCTCTTTGGAAAGTAAATGTGTGCAAATGAACTAGTTAAAGTCAGTGCTGGTCCAGTAGGATTTTCAGTGACTAGGGAAATGTGCTATATCTGGGGCTTATAAGCTACTGAGCCCTGACTCCATTGTGGCTAGTGCAAATGAGAAAATGAATTTTAAATTTTATTTCATTTTAATTAAAGTAGCTGCATGTAGCTGGTGGTTACTGTATTGGAGATTCAGATCTAAATATTTGAAATAAAATATTTTCAAGGTTAATCTATATGGACTTAATACTGCCCCCCCCAAGCAAAACAAAATAAAAAAAAAAAATACAGAGCCTACATGTTAATAACTATTTGAACTTCTTTTTTTTTTTTTTTTGGTTTTTCTCCGGTACCGGGAAC